CCCAATAAAAGTCTAGTAAACCATATAAATTATTAGTAAATATTAGAAATATAAGCATTTGCCCCCAATTAAAAAACTGATTACCCCCAACAATAACCTATGTTGTAAGACCCGAACCGGTCCGGGCGGGTTGAACCGGAAACTGGCGAACCGCTGGGAATACCGGGCCGGTTATGGATAACTGGAAAATATGCCCAAACCCGCCTAGACCCGATGACCCGTTGTTGACCCGGCCGGAAACCCGGCTAAACCCAGAGAAACCGTGTAACCTGCCCACAAGGCCGATCCTACCATTTTTTTTTTTGCCTGAGTCGAATTTTTGTAAAAGGCCCTTAAATAATGTAAAATTTGGATATTAAGATTTGTAAGCACTAATTTAATTTATATGCCTACATCAAATAATTAATCCCACATAGTTGCATGATATTATTTTGATTGATATTATTTATATTGTTGTTTTCTTAATAAAATAGAAAAATTTGTATATACATACTACTATAATTAAATTATTTATAGGCTTCTATTATTGACCAAATTTTTGGGGCCTGAGGCAACTGCCTCTTTGCCTCAAGAGAGGGTTCAGCCCTGCCCGCCCAATCCTATATCTTTATTTTGCAATAAGTCTAAGCCAAATTGTTAAAGCTTTATACGGAGTAATTAGTAACTGATGTTATCAAACATCATAAAAAAAATGTTATCAAACATCATCAAAATACTAATGGGGAGTAACTATTATTCAATATTGATATTAGCTTGCTTTTCAAATATGTGATATGTCTACATCATTTCATATATAATTGAAAGTTACTTATACGCAATATAATTTAATTGGATTTTATAATAACCATCATTCACACATAATAGTATTGTTTATAGATGTGTATTTTAGATATTAGAACAATATTATTATTGTTATACTTGTTATATACTATCACTATTTTATAAAGGACAATATGTTTTATCTTATAATCTTAATATAATTTATATTAAAGGTTGACCGGGTCAACCCGGTCAACCCGGTCAAAGGTTGACTGGGTTTTTCGCCCGTTGACCGGGTTGACCCTCTGGGTCCGGATTGACCCTTGACCCGGTCATTCGTCCGGGTCACCCTCCGGTCCGATTTTTACAACATAGACAATAACTCGGATGTCCAGTCATCCCAATTCAAAGCCATTAATTTATGAATTTCACCCAAACCGGCAAACCCGCTAACTTACCTTAAAAGTTACCGCTGAATCTTATATAGCCAAGAGATCAGCCTCATTTTATACCACTTTATTTTTAAATCAATAATCTACTAATCAATTTGATAGTAGAGTGTTGCACTTTGCGTTGTTACTATACGTTGTTATTATTAGGTTAGCCCGCTCAGGGATGGATTTGGGGGGGGACCGCCCCCCTTGGACATTCAATTTTTTTTACCATATATGTAATATTTTCATAAAACTTTCATAATTTAATTAGATTCGCCCCCCTTAGCTTTAAATTTTCAAAATTAATATATATAGTCTTACATAATGTAATACTTAATTGGAGATTTAAAAGAAGAAACATCTATTTTCAAAAAAAAAAAAAAAAAAAGAAGAAGAAACATCTAAAATAATTTACATAACTTAAACAAATAAACAATAGAGTAACTCGTTATTTAAGATTTAGGATACTTATTATATAAGAATTCCTAGTTATGTAATGTTTAATTATCTTTATTAGATAACAAGTACTGGATTTCGTAAAACATATATCAAACAATATTAAATACCAAACACACTAATTACACAATTTTTAGATCACGTGAAATGAATCCAAAATATAAATATTTATAGACATTAGATTACATAATTCATTTACTTCTTGCTTTCTAAAAATAATTTATTGCATGGATAATAAACTCTAAATTATTATAGAATTATTAAAAATATTAAAATATAATATGCACCATATATATATGTGTGTGTATGCACGTGGTGCATATTATTCTAAAAATAACAATCTCATACATACTAGTATACTACTATTGTAATATTAAGAAAACTTCTCATGAGTCATGACTCACGAACACCCTCCTTGGTGGACAAAAATTACAATTCAATAACCGATTCATGAGGTTAAACAATGTAGAAGTTATTAAAAATGTATTGGTTGATGTCTTTGTCATCGTCTAAACTTAGAATGTAATACATTTAAATGTCGTTCGGGATGTGCATGTATTAATGTCATTTTTGAATAAAAATAGCCGCATAGCCCTACAGTAGCGAAAAAATTTCGACCCGCTATACTAGGGAAAAAATTTTCACCCCGCTACACTAACAAAAAAAAATTCACCCCCTACACTAACGAAAAATTTCGCCCCCCTTGACTTAGAATCTTGGATCCGTCCCTGAGTCCGCTCCTTGATTGGCATCTCAATTGTTTATTTGTTTAAACTCTAAAGGCATATATTACTCTATATAAATAATAGATAATGTTATTAAACTTATCATAATGTTATTATTAATATTTAAATTTGTAAAGTTTTTTTATGTAAATCCATTAGATTTAATTTAATAGATAGATGATCATTTCACTCAAATAGTTATACATCTATTTGGAGTCTAATCTTCTACATTTATGAGAGAAAAAAATCTAAACATGAGGAAAAAAGTCCCGAAATAGGAGTAAAAACATTTGAGAAATCAAAATAGGACTATCATATATGTTTTATTCCCTAAATTGGAGTAACTATTGTCAAACTTGGGAAATATTGTCATATTTTAAGTCTGATATTGTCAAAACATGACACTAATTACTCATATTTAGCGAATAACAACATGACATTCTATTTAGGAATACACAAAGGTTTCTAACTTTCTACTCATATATTCAACTATAGGGTATATTTATACTTTTCCCCATTCAAAATATAATCTAGTTATAATTTGGAACACTTTAACATTTACCATCAAGTGACCAATTATTCCGTTAGAATCCAATGAAGTAATGAGATGACTACTTGTCGTTGAATTTTCTTCCATGAATCTAAAGTTTGAATTGATGCAGGCGCATAACGCATTGGAGGATTCCCAGACACTGGATTGGATGTCCAAACAAACAATTGAGTTAATGGGTCATGACTCATGGATCAAACGAATGGACGTCTGAAGTCTGGATCCAAGGCTGAGTCTGTTTAGAAATGAAATTGAACAGTTATGCAATTAATAATTCTTTGTATTTATTTTATTGTGGCAAACATTATTAATTCAGAAGAGTTTTTCACAATTCCACAACATCATAAAAAGAAACAATTCCCCAACAATTAGTTCTATAAAAACAAGCGAAAGTTCCCGAAATAAGACTAAAAAGGTTTGGAAATTCCAAAATAGGACTGTCATGTTTTTATTCCCAAAATAGGACTATTTACTGCCAAATTTGGAAAATACTGTCATATTTAAAGTCTGGCACTGCCAAAACATGAGTGTAATTAGTCCTATTTTGGAAATAAAAACATGACAGTTCTATTTTGGAATATTCAAACTTTTTTAGTCCTATTTTGGGTAATATCTCTAAAAACAATAGTCAATAACTTCCATTCAGAAAAAAAAACAATAACGTTCTTAAATACGGAGTATTCATCTTCTCCCAAAAGGTTGAATCCCCAACCCCAAGCGTCCTTCACACCCTAACCTGATAAGACATTTGGGAGATTGTAAGTCACAGAGATTCCACACGGTGACACGGTGCGTACCAAAGATCCAGTCCAACACGCACGAGCTGTAACCTCCACACCGTCACTGTGGGTTTCGATCCTTGTTCATTATTCCAATTTTCCTGTCACTCAATCAACTGAACTACCCGTGCAAATTAAATATTCATTTTCTAATCAGCCTATTTGGTTCAAGAGACACAAGAAATGAGGAAAAATGGTAGTTAAAAAGATTAGTTATGCTTTTTTTTTTCTTATCCATTACCAAACATATATGGTATGTGTAGATTTAATGGATGTTACGCATTGCTAATGATGATTGGATTTCGACTGTTTATGAGAATACCTTTATTCACTCACAAATAAAGGATACCTTTATGTTTTCCAATCATTAAACAAAGTAACATACCATATTACCATGCAAATAAAGTGCTATGCAAAAATGCAATCACCAATGAATAGCAAAAGCCAAAAGGTTAATCAATCTTTACATTTTTTATTTTGCTCTATTTCAATTTCTCTTAGTTTTATAATACATGGGGAGTGTTTGCAATAGCTTAAAAAAAAGCACTTCTCACTTTTTGGCTTAAAAAAGCACTTATTTACCAAACACTACCAATTTTTACTTTTTCTCGGCTTGCGTGTGAAAAGTGTTTTTCCCTTATCTATTACACAAAAAGCACTTATTTTACCAAACACTACCAACTTTTACTTTTCAAAATTACTTTTTTCTCAAACACTATCAACTTTTACTACTAATCACTTTTTCCTTACATCTCCAAAAGTGCTTTTTTTTAAGCAGAAGCAGTTGCAAACACTCCCATAGTCATGGACCCAGGACCGGGTCAGGTACGGGTCGGGCCTAGGCCCGGCCGGGTCTGGATTGATGTGGTTTAGGCCCGGGACCAGCCCGGTTGTCTACCGGTTCCGGGCCGAGCCCGTTCCAATTCCATTTTTTTTTTGTTTTCTAATTTATTTCATCCCCTCCCCCCCATCCCCCCCCCCCCCCACATCCCCCAAACCCATCGGAAACAGCCAACCCAACACAACTAAACCCAGCCCAATCCCAAAAAAAATGAAAAAAAAAAAATAAAAGGTCAGAAACAGCCCCGGAACCGGCCGGGCCGGTTCGCATTTCACCTATCCCGGGACCACCCCCGGTTACACCCTAAAACCGGGCCTAGACCCAGAACCGATACCCGGTTCCCGGGTTGGGTGGCCCGAACCGAGTCCAACACTAATAATACACACAAAAATTTCAATTATTGCTCACTCAAAGGTTTAACAAAATTTAAGAAATTCAAAATTGTGTTGTTGAGGCGTCAGAGATAGGTAGAAGAAAGAGAAAATAGAAAAGTTAAAGTATGTAAATAATTTCAACCAAAGGGAAGTATATAAATATAAATATGTGTATATATATAAATTAATACACACAGAGACACCTAATTACAATATGAAGAGCTGTCCATTTCATTCTCAAACTTGAATCTCTTACAGTAAGTATACAGCTCATACTATCATCCCCTGGATCATAAGTACTCTCAACCACCGGCAGTCCAGAAAACAGAAAACTGGGTACATCAACACAATCACATTATTCTGTTGAGTGGGATCCTTTCACTTTGCCGAGCAATCCTTTCCACAGGAGAAATGCTTTGCGGCATTGTCATTCCACCAGATACTATGATTTCTGCAAGATTTACTCAAAAGTTAGAGATGACAAGAAAAAGCAGAAAATAACAGGAAAAGTGTGGTTAATAACAGGAAAAGTGTACCTATGCCTTCACGGATTGACAAATTCGGTCTTATGATATCCTTGGAGCTAACAAGGACTATATCACCAATGTACAAGTGATTAGTTGGGACAAACACACTACACAGTTCTTCATCACCATCATCTTTCTGCACCCAAATACTCAGTAGCAGAACATATCCGAAACTTGCTAAGAGAACTACTTGTGAAGATTTTTAGGTATTACAATTACAAGGGTTATAGTGTTTACTAGTACTGCAGTATACCTGACATATTTTTTGGGGGAATGTCCAATTTGTACAGCCCAATGCCTATTTTTGCCATGCAGGCCTACCCGCTTTATTTTTGGACAACCAACTACACCTCTTTCTAATTACTTTACCAAGAGGGCAAGAGGGTCTACTTAGATACATTTTCACATGTAAACAATGCTAGCCCCTCTAGGTTATAGTTAGCCCTTCTAGGGTTTTGATTTTAACATTAAGAATTACTCCGTATGTTGTAGTTCATTTTCGTATATTTTCAACTTTTACTTCCAAAATGGATGCCTGCACGGCCGTACATATAATAATGAGTTGGCAAATTCAGTTATATTATCCTATTCAACTCAAAACAAAGAAATCTATCGTAGGGTACACTTCACAATGAAGCTACGAAAAGCGGTTCTACCAAATACCAAGGCCTATTGGAACGAGTGCCAAAGTTATTTATTTTCCTATGCTAAATACCAGGATAAAAAATATAAGTAACTCCCTGTATTGAAAGCATAGGCCTACAAGACAGTCAGATCTGCACAAGTACTACTAATTGCTTACTAAATACAACTGAACGTATTACAAATGTAAATGTGTAGGGCAACTAATAGAAGTGCAAAGATTATGCAATTATAGAATTGAATCAATTCAATTCTTTATTATAATACTTACTAGCTGTACTTTTCTTATATTTTAGGAGGCAATTAACAATTGTTTTGACACATGACGGTTTGTATTATTAAGACTTATGGTTCCTTCCGAAACGTAACTTTAAAGAAGGGGTAGTCCAAAAACTTATCAATGAGGAGTAGTAGCCCATGTGTTAATATAGCACTTTGTTCATCCAAACTTTTCCGGTGTGGGACAGTTCGTCTAGATCGTGCCATCATTCATTTTTTTTTCATCCGGCCGTTTTTATAATCGTGTCATCATTTTTCATAAGGGGCCCCACACTATGGATCGATTTGGCTCTGATACCATGTAAAGACCCGAGGTTCCATCCTAAAAGGTCAACCTTTTAGGATGGAACCCCGGGTCTTAACAGAGTTTTTATACTTCACCTGTCTAGTACTTTGCTTGAAGTACAAATTGTATTTTGAAGAAAACAATACCTGAAGGAAGACATAAGATGTTATGAACCCAAAAGCATATTCACCCACACGCGGGTGACTTATGATTGCCACTTCCTTAAAAGCTGTTGTATTTTGGTCTGTTAGAAATATAAACAGATAGAGAGAGAAAAATCAGCTTCAAGGAATATTTATGTCTAAATTTGTAAAGAGAAGCTGATCGGCACAATTTTAGTTAAGCATACACACAATTTGCGACGCAATTTTCACTATGGGTCATCCGCAAACAGTCTCTTTATGCTTTAGTACAGGGGTAAGACTGCCTACATCCGACCCCCTTACCCCACCGTAGGTGGGAGGCTTTTGCGGCACTGGGGTGATGATGATAATGATACACAAAGAGACATATGGTCACATGCATATGTGTGTGTGTAGACACTTCTCCACATTCCACATTTGCTAGGCGCCTTAAACTAAGACATTGTTGGTGAATACTCCAATTTTTTGCACTTTCATAAAATACTAAGCGTCAAGTAAAATAATGCTCCCCCCGTCCCTAATTTTTCTTCCATAGTACAAATGGCACACAAATTAAGATAGTGAGTATTGTGTGGTGGAGAGTTGTGAAAAGGAGAGAGAAATGTGTAAGAATGTGTAAGATTTGTTAGTGAACCAGAAATTCTATCAAAAGGGAAAGTGGAAGTTTATTTTAAGACATCCAAAAAGGAAAGTTGGAAGTTTTTCAGGGACGGAGGAAGTGCATTATGTGATTTGAAATAAGTTATATAAAGGAAAGGTTAACATAAATCCAACTACTTTGCTAGTTCCTCTTTATCCCTCGTAGATAGAAACTAAAGGAAGAAATAGGTTTCTCACGAATAAGGACAAGTAAAATTATCCTCCAAGGTGTATAACTTGCTTAGGACAAAGGCACCTACCCGTAGGTGGACATCCTTTATTTGGAAAGATTGTATTCCTCCTAAGTTTTCCTTTACTACTTGGTTGGCATTCTGAAATAGGTTAGCTACATATGATAATCTTCATAGATTAGATGTGATTAACACCTGTATATTGTGCAAGGGTGGACCGGAAACGGTTTCACACCTATACTTTGAATGTCCTTTTTTCAGGAAAAGTTTAGAGCATGGTGAAGGATTGGATGCATATACCGCGGCATATGGGGACCTTGCCTAGCTCGGTGAAATGGATAAAGAAGGAAAGGAGTGGAGCTAGAATACAAGCTAAGGCCTCTCGGATTGCACTTTGCTACTCCATATACTGGATTTGGAGGATTAGAAATGCAGTCAGATTTGATGGATTGTCTCCCAAAGAAGAAGACGTTTTTGCTAGGATAAAGTACATTGTGTACAAGTTTTGTATAGTATCTATCCACATGATTTGGGTTGTAATTTGATAACTTTCTGCCCATCACCTATTGGTCGTGAAGTAGCATAGGTTGCTTAGATATCATCTTATTTTGAGGTGATGGGTTATCCAATCTTTGGATAGCCTGCATTTTTACTCACCTTTTTGATGTACAGTTAAACTCTTTTGGATGGTTTCTAATATATACTTACAGTTCATCCAAAACAAAGGACAAGTAAAATTAGATTCCCCTGTCAATCACTAGCATGACCAGGAGATTGATGTTATAGTTCCCCATAGAACACAAATGCTGAAATGCATGGAAGCTGAAAGAGCTGTGGCTTACCTGGAGATATTGCAGAGCTTATTTGCTTGGAAGCTGAATATATGTGTTTAACAAATGGCATTCGCTTTATAAACCATTCTCCAATCCAGAATACAGTAGATCCCAGCCACGATGAGACAAACACACCAGCTAAGAACACAAAAACTAGTGATGTCACAAATCCCAGTCCTGCATGACAATACACACAAAAAAACTATAACATTCTTGAGAATATATAGGTCTTGTGCAGGCGGGGGGGGGGGGGGGGGGGGGGTCAACCAGGTAAGTCATTAATTCACAGCATAAAATCAAACATTGCAGCTATCAGAGAATGAAATATCTTCAAACTTATTACCGAATTCTAAACTGCGTGTATGCCTTCATTTAATAACAGAAACTCAGTTTCATGAGTGACGTCTCATGATGAGGTTCACATGATTGAGTTTATGAATGCTCATACTTACTCGCTTCATATGACTACTAGATTGCATTTCCATGGCAACATTCACAACGATCATCAAAACATTAGCTAATGTTTTTTCATAAACTCAATACGAAAAAGGCCATACTGGACATGATATAGATCATTTTTTTTAAATGGGGTAAGTCAAAGCATTGCAAATATCAAGTTGAAAATTCAAGGAAACAGAACCTAACACTTCGGACTTACCGAATATGTCAATGCCTAGTTGTTCGTATAGTGGACTGAAGAAACCATCAACAAACTGAACAAACCACCACGTGATAAAGAATGTAACCGCAACAGGAAAGAGAACTACACTACAATTCCAAAGCCAAGGGTTTTTGACGTCAATTAAATAGGCAAAATATTATGCATCTTGATTGATAAAGAGAAGGATATTCACCATCCAGTCATGAACTTCTTCGAGACCCAGCTTTGAAGGAAGTAACAACAAGCCTGAAGAAACAAAACAAATGGTATGAATTTCTAAGTGGATAAAAAATGCAACAAGCAGTGACTTCATTGCATTGTTTCGTACAAGATCTGAAAGGTGAGATCCATCAAAATATTATTCATACTGAAGTGGAAGTGGAGTATGGTATTTCTGTTATCAAATAGAATATCTTTCAGATATTGGGAGGGGGAATTAATTGGAGTTCTCACACTTTTTCATCCAAAAAATAGGAGCTTGCATCCCATTTTTTTAAATCAATAATATTTGCATGCCGCTCGTAGAAAAATCTGTTAGTAATAAGGTGCACATGTTAGAATATACTATTGTATTTAGTTAATAATTGATATTCTAATATTGGTCATGTAATTGGGGTTAATTAGAATATCGTTGATATTCTACTATTCTAATATTCTAATATTTATTAATACTATTAATAAAGTTCATATAGTCTTAGACTTTTAATTGGTTTACTGATAGATTGAACGTGTGTTTAAGTCTGTCTAGGACTAGGTTTCCCCAACCTTCTCCTCTCCCTCTATATATATGCATATTCTGCAATAACAACAGAATATAATTATGAGATTTCTACCTCTAAGAGGGATAAGGGATTTATTCTTATTCATTCATCTATAGATCCAGGTATTTCTAAATCTTGACCTATTAGTACCACTTATGATTTTTGTGATTATATGATTTCGATCTTGGCATTTAATATTACAATTGGTATCAAAGCTTGGTTATTATGACATCATATCATAAGAATAAATTTCTTATCCCCTCTGACGGCACAATCCAACTTGGGTGAAAAATGAGATGCAAACTATAATATGGAACAGTATTCCAAATATTAATGAATTCAAAAATGGGGTGTGAACTCAAAAATTGGGATATAAAAGTGGGGTACACGCTCCATTACCCCAAAAAATGATCTTTTTAATTAGCCAAGCATAAATGCACAAACCCAATAGTTTTTAGAAGGTACAAATTTTTTTGGGCATTTTACTCAAGATGACAAACAAATTCACACAGTTTGTCATTGGGTTACGTTGATTTCTCTGACTGCTTATTTTAATTGGGATGGTAGTATCCACAATCCACCCTATGGAGAATTAGCAAAGTAGTATAAGCAGGCGCATTGAATACTTGGACATTCGAATTAAAAGAATTTCAAGATATTATCGCATCTTCACACTTTAGGACAGGGTTTAGGTTACTGGAAGAGACACAAACAAGATTTTAAGTAAAATTGTAAATTAAAAAAGGGAAATGGAGGTAATCGCACCTTGCGAGTAGACGAATTGGGTGAATTGGAAGGAGATTTGAGTGGGTCTTCTGGATCGTCGGCGGCGGGTTGACTCAGGGGGACTGACGTGGCATCCTTGTCTTCCGCCATTACTTTGACACGGTAGATCTGAGCTCGGGAAAGAACAAGACCAGACAAGACTTTGCCTAAACCAGAAAAGAGTAGCCGTGAGAAGGTCGTCGTTGCAGTTTCAGTCGGTTTATCATCAAAATATTGTACAGTACGGTCAGTAGGTGTAAAAAACTTCAGATTCAAGCAAAATAAATAAACATCTACTTTTAAGTTTTAACAAATTAAAAAATTCTCCTCGTTACTTTAACCAACGCCTACTCAAGTGAAAGAGCCCCTCATCTTAAATGCTCCATACAAATTTTGTCATGTAAGACGTTTTGCCTGGGGCGTGGCTTGGATTAAAATTTTAAAATAAATAAAGAAAAAATAGGCTCTAGTAATACTCCGTATCTACTGAAAATATAAAGTGCCAAAGAGGAGGTAGATGGTCGTTTTCACAGCTTCATTGCTTGTTTTCCAGTGTTGGGCACGGATTGCACGCAACGCGCACTACCGTGCTAGTTCCGTAATATACTCCGCGTGCTTGGGAATGGGTGGCACGGGATGAGAATGGTGACTTTGTGAAGGCCGGGGATGAGCGGGGTGGGCTTAGAGATGTGGTTTTGCGAGCGGTTGAGGAAGGCCGGAGCGAAGTGGAAATTAAGACGGATGCACTCACTGTTATTCAGGGGATCAAAAAGGAAGGCGGCTCCTCTTATCTCCATCTTTTCATTCATGACATTAGGAAAGTTTTAGAAACAAAGAGTAATATTCCAATCACTTTTTGTAGACAATATGTGAATTGTGTTGCTCATGTTTTAGCTAAAGTTCACGCTACTGACTCAGATCAGAAGGCCACCTATGATTTTATCCCCCATTATATTGTAAGCCAGCTGGCGAACGATTTGCTTATTTAATGGATTTGTTGGTTTTTTATGATAAAAAAAGTAATAATATACTCCGTACTACTTAGATGTGTTGTTTTAGAAGTCTATGTTAGATGTCTTGTTTTAGTTTGACACAATTATTAACAAAGTGATTAAAAAATAAAAGTTGTGATTGAGACTTGAAGAAACATAGTGAAATGAATGATCACATATTTCATGTCAAAAATGAAACATGACAATCAGAAAAAGAAAGTAACACAACTAAAATGGGATGGAGGAACTTCCTCGTACTAAAATATTCAATTAAATCCTCGAGTTTAAGAGACACCCCTTTAAGATCTGGTATTTTTGAAAAACGTCAAATTTATAATCTCGTAAGTTAATTCCTGCTTAGCCGATCATTTGTTTAACACAATTCAGATGGCTTATTTTAATTTTTTTTTCTTTTCTTCTTTCACTTCTTTTTTCATTTTCTTCGTCTTCTTTCTACTCATCCTTCTCCCTTGCATCTTTCTTGTTCCAGGTAAGCAAGACCACACATCTTTCTCTCAACTGCCCATGATTCTTCATCCTCTTCAGCCCCCCCCCCCCCCCCCCCACCACACCCCCTTCTCCCGTCCTCTTTCCTCTGCACGATAACTTTGTTAGTCCCGGATCTAAAAAGTGCATCTTCTTGGATTATCCTGATGTGGTGAAGGGCTATAGATTGTGGGATAGAAGTGTGCCTGGTTTTAAGGTTGTGATAAGTAGGGATGTTATTTTTAATAAATTTGATTTTCTTTGCTTGTCTAAATATGTCTCTGAGCATGAACCTGATAAGACACCTGTTGAGGTGGAGTCTCAGGTTCCATGCGTGCCTATTGTTCCTTCTGACATACATGACAATCTTCATGTTTTACCTAATCATTCTAATGAGTTGCATTATAATTTTTCTAGTGGTACTACCTCTAGTGAGGTGGGGTCTGATCATGACCATGAGAATGATGTGCATAATTACCAATCTGTGTCTCGTGAAACAAACGTGCGTATTAACTCTTTTGAGAATGATGAAGTTGATTTGCATGACTCCAACTTGAATTGCTAGGGATAGAAGTAAGAAAATCATTAAGAGAAAAGTTGATATCATGTCTGATGATGCCTTTACTGTTTGTGACATATCTGATTTTTCTTTTAATGTGTTTGAGACCCTAAATTTGAATGAACTTAAAATGTATAGTGAGGCTTTAAGGTATAGATATTCTCAAAAGTGGCTAGATGCCATGAGTAGTGAGATGGCCTCTTTAAGAGTGAACTGGACTTGGACCCTTGTTCCTAGACCTCCTGGCAACTCTGTAGTTGAGTGCAAATGGTTGTTTAAGGTTAAGGAAGAACTTTGCGATAGCATTTGATTCAAAGTTAAGCTGGTGGCTAAGGGGTTTAGTAAAAAAGAAGAGATAATTTTTGCTGAAATCTTTGCTCCCGTAGTTAAGTTTACTACTATTAGATTTATGCTTGCTTTAGTCGCTCACTATGACTGGGAAATGAAATGAATGGATGTTACCACTACTTTACTACTGGTGAATTAGATAAAAAGATCTACATGACTCAACATGAGGGCTTTGTGGATCCCCAAAGAAGTAACCATGTGTGTGCTCATGAAGGCTTTATATGGACTGAAGCAATCCCCTAAGCAGTGGAATATTAGGTTTGACAAGTGTATGAGTCTACTAAGTTTGTGAAATCTGCCTGTGATCATTGTCTTTATTTCAAGGATACTTCTACTGTTCATGTGTTCTTGTTAATCTATGTGGATTACATGTTGATCATTAACCATTGTCTTAAATCTATCCAGTATGTGCAGAAATGTATATGTGATAATTTTGCTATGAAAGATCTTGGTGATGCCAAGAGGAAACTAAATGTGTTTATACATTTACTTGCTGTGACATATGTGATTTTTCTTTTAATGTGTTTGAGACCCTAAATTTGAATGAACTTAAAATTTATAGTGAGGCTTTAAGGTATAGATATTCTCAAAAGTGGCTAGATGCCATGAGTAGTGAGATGGCCTCTTTAAGAGTGAACTGGACTTGGACCCTTGTTCCTAGACCTCCTGGAAACTCTGTAGTTGAGTGCAAATGGTTGTTTAAGGTTAAGGAAGAACTTTGCGATAGCATTTGATTTAAAGTTAAGCTGGTGGCTAAGGGGTTTAGTAAAAAAGAAGAGATAATTTTTGCTGAAATCTTTGCTTCCGTAGTTAAGTTTACTACTATTAGATTTATGCTTGCTTTACTTGCTCACTATGACTGGGAAATGAAATAAATGGATGTTACCACTACTTTACTACTGGTGAATTAGATAAAAAGATCTACATGACTCAACATGAGGGCTTTGTGGATCCCCAGAGAAGTAACCATGTGTGTGTGCTCATGAAGGCTTTATATGGACTGAAGCAATCCCCTAAGCAGTGGAATATTAGGTTTGACAAGTGTATGAGTCTACGAAGTTTGTGAAATCTGCCTGTGATCATTGTCTTTATTTCAAGGATACTTCTACTGTTCATGTGTTCTTGTTAATCTATGTGGATTACATGTTGATCATTAACCATTGTCTTAAATCTATCCAGTATGTGCAGAAATGCATATGTGATAATTTTGCTATGAAAGATCTTGGTGATGCCAAGAGGATACTTGGAATCATTGTTCTAAAAATCGGCCTAGGCGGACCGATTAATCGGCCTAGGCGGCCTAGTCGGCCCTAACCGTAGAGGCCGAATCGGCCTAGTCGGCCAAAAAAATGGCCTAGTCGGCCGCCTAGGCGCTAGGCGCCCCTCAACCGCCCGACTAGCGCCTAGCGAGTTTTAGAACAATGCTTGGAATTAATATTGTTAGGGACATGAGTACGCACACTCTTGTGCTAAACCAGATTTCATATGTGGAAGGCTTTGAGTAAGTTTAATATGTCTTTTGTTGCACCTGTGAATGTTCCCTTTGCCTCCCACTTAGTGAATATGTCTGATCTTCTGCTACACATGTGAATGTTCCCCTTGCCTCCCGCTTTGTGCTAATTAAGAATCAGTCCCCAAAGACTACTTCTGAAGTTGAAAATATGAAGTCTGTTCCCTACTCTAATGTTATATGTTCTGTGATGTATCTGATGGTTAGTTCTAGACCCGATATAGCCTATGATATTAGCTGTTTGAGTAGATATATGTATAATTTTGGTATGCCTCATTGGAATGCTTTGAAATGGCTTTTGAGATATTTGATGTTTTCTGTCAATCATGGTTTATGTTTTTCTAAGTGTTCGTAAGGTGTGAACTGAGGGGCTATGTTGATTCTAACTATGCTAATGATAGAGACAATAGGAAATCAACTACTTCATATGTGTTCAGTCTGTGTGGTTTTTGTATTGGTTGGAAATCTCAGTTACAACCTATATATAGTTGCTTTATCAACCTGTGAATTTGATGAGTAGGGGTGGGATCGGTTCGATCCGGGTCGGGTTTTTGCTAAACCCGGAAATTACCCAGAAGGACTCACTTATGAAAATTAGGGACTAGAACAAAGCGAGTTTTAGAACAATGCTTGGAATTAATATTGTTGGGGACATGAGTACGCACACTCTTGTGCTAAACCAGATTTCATATGTGGAGAAGGCTTTGAGTAAGTTTAATATGTCTTTTGCCGCACCTGTGAATGTTCCCTTTGCCTCCCACTTAGTGAATATGTCTGATCTTCTGCTACACATGTGAATGTTTGATGTGTGTTTTCTCGCACTTAAAACGGTTGTAGAAAAGTGGTGTAAAGTACGAGTATCGTCTCCATAGGGACGGACAAAAGGGAAATAAAGATTAACTAAACTTAGCGATTAAACAGAAATAAATAAATTAAAATGCAATGTGCGAGATTGGTTGGTTGAATTAAAATTAAAACTAATGCTAATGAGCGATAAAAATAAAAGATTGGTGTCTTCTCAATTAACGACGAAGGGAACAGGGATTGATTCCGGGGTAACCAGATTTCTGGCAGATCAGGCCTAATTACATGAATTTAATTTAATTGAGCCTAGCTAATCATTACTAAGTTCTTACCGCTCTCGCGGCGTAGAGTACAATAATTTAGGGGACCAGGCTGATCTCTCATGCGACAGGATCCTAAATTATTGCCAAGACGAGCGAGCTTACGGCCCCTTAATCGCTACTAATCTCTTAGCGAACGATTAAGTGTGTGTGAATGTGCCCTAGAACAAATTAGATCTCTCTTAATTCATTCTACATGCAATTGTAATTCTAGCTGCAGTCTAGGTTACAAGAGATATCAATTAAATTATTCAAACACAACTTAAACGGCATTCATGCAATTAAACCGACAAGAATCTAGCCATCAATCATGATTAACCCCTTCATCAACCCCAAATCCCTAATTAAACTACTCACAATTCATAATTGAAGAATCAACAGAATTGAGAAGAATAGAATAAATTGTCATTAATTAAAAAGATGAACTTACAAATAATCCCAGAGTCTTGGATGAAAATAGCGTAAAAACGGTGTTAAATTC